GAATTGGCTCACATGATTCTGGGGGCTGGCAAGTCTGAAGTCTGCAGGACAGGCCAATAGCTTGGAGACTCAGGAAAACCTGATTTTGCATCTTGAGTCGGGAGACCTCAGTCTTTTCTCTTAAGGCCTTCCTTCAACTGATTAGATGAGGCCCACATACATTATGGAAGGTAATCTGCTTTACTTGAAGTCTGTTGATCTAAATGTTAATCTCATCTAAAAATTCTTTTGCAGCAATATCTTGACTGCTCTTTGACCTAACAACACTGAGTACCATGGCCTAGACAAGCTTACATAGAAAATTAACCGTCACACATAAAAATAGTTGAGAGAAACGTGTGTATGTGTGTAAGAAATTGTATTTGAGATGAGCTTTGAAGGAAGAGATGAGTATGAATATTTGAAATGGAAGGCACAGCGTGAAAATAAGGATGGAAATGTGAAAAAAACAGGGTGCGTGTAGAAAATTATTGTTTCCTTTGATTGGCGTGAAGGGAGCGATTGATGGAAATTGAACTTGAATGAGGGATCCTGGTATCCCATGAAGACCAAGAGGAGGAGTTTGACTTCATTCTGCAGGAAGGGGACATCCAGCCAAGTTTTTTGCTCAAAGGATTGTTTTCTTGGAGTTAGTACTGAGTTTAATCTGACAGCAAGCCCCGGGTCAGGGCATCGCAGGGTTGTGTGGCTTCCATGGGGTCAACTGCCCTGCCTTCTCGTTGTGTGACCACCCAGAATACGATTCACTTGGAAGACGGTAGTGAACAAGACCAAAAATATCATTTAGGGTTTCAAGGTAATCCAAGATCATTATTGTTGGAACATTGCATGCAGTCGTTTCCTAAAAAGATATCACCTGTTACAAGAAGAGGGCGTAAATGAAAAACAGAACCTATGAGTGAGGTGTAGCTCTTCAAAATGATGAAATTGGGAAATAAATTCTGTTGTCCTGCCTGAGTTCTTTCTTTAAATTCTTGGTGAACTGGTTGAAAAAAATTTATGTAACACTGGTTTCATGCCTGACCGAGAATGGCAGATATATCATTCCCCATGATTTACTCTTTTGTACTAATGATTCTTTACTTAAAAAAGCTTTACAGTTGCTGATTAACTGATACGAGTTAAGGCCTTTGGTTAATTGTAACCCTCTCAGTTCAAACGTTTCTTGTATTGCTTAAGCCATATGTAGAGTTTCTCTTTCTGTGTTTTTGGTTAATGTTTTGTTTTTAAGGACGTTGAGTTGTGTTCTGTTTTCTATTATGTTGAGTCATGGATTAACCTAAAGAAACACAGACGTTTGACTTTGCTTCCTTGGAGCAAAATGTGCACAGGCTTTGGGGGAAGTGTGGGTGTGTATTCTTAGGGTCTTTGTGATAAGGGCTTTGCCCCTTCCATCCACTCACAGCTCTTTCTCTATAGGACCATGGAAGAGACACGTTCCATCTAGCTAACTTGCTGTTTGTTTTTTTTTTTTAAGATAATAAGTAGGTTATACTAAACCATTTTCTAAGAATCTAAGTCTTAGATCCCCCCCAGCAGGCTGCCTGGGACCATAGTGTTAAGAATGTGAACTTTGGAGCCAGGCGGCCAGGGTTAGAACCTGGCTCTGTTACCAGCTGTGTGTCCTTCTATGAGCCGCTTAACCATTTTGCCCCCATTTCCACATCTGCAAAAGTGAGGATAGTAATACTGAAACCGTGCACCTCAGATTGGGAATTCAACCCACGCGGCCGGGACTCAGACCCAGACAAAACCCATGCTCTTCCAACTGAGATCACACACCTGGTTTCAGGACCTAATAATGAAGCTCAGGTTCTTGACATCCTATCACAGAAAGAATTCAGTGAGAGACAAAGTGACAGGTAAGAAGTGGATTTATTTAGAGAGAAACACACTCCACAGATAAGAGTGTGGGCCATGTCAGAAGGCAAGAGCGGCACCAGGGCACGGGGTTGTCAGTTTTTTATAGAGTGGGTAATTTCATAGGCTAATGAGTGGAGGAGTATTCCAGCTATCTGGGGAGAGGGGTGGGGATTTCCAGGAATTGAGCCACCGCCTGCTTTTTGACCTTTAGGGTCAGCCTTGAAACTGTCATGGCACCTGTGGGTGTGTCATTTAGCTGATGTGTTACAATGAGCCTATACCGAGGCTCAAGGTCTAGTGGAAGTCGACTTGTCTTCCATCTTGGACCCATTTGGTTCTAATCAGTTTATGTCATGTCCTCGGGTTATGTCATTCTTTCAAATGTTGTGCCCTGCCCCCTTCCCTCTTGTTTCATTATAACATCATTGTTGCGAGGACTGGATGATTTAATGATATGCAAAGTGTTTAAAACAGTGCCTGGGCTTCCCTGGTGGCGCAGTGGTTGAGGGTCCGCGTGCCGATGCAGGGGACGCGGGTTCGTGCCCTGGTCTGGGAAGATCCCACGTGCCGCGGAGCGGCTGGGCCCGTGAGCCATGGCCGCTGAGCCTGCGCGTCCGGAGCCTGTGCTCCGCAAACGGGAGAGGCCACAACAGTGAGAGGCCCACATACCGCAAAAAAACAAAAACAAAAACAAAAAGCCAACAGTGCCTGACGCATGGTACACACTTGTAAGTGTTAGCTCTTATCATCTTAGATGAGAACTGTGCAGGTGCATCAAGTTGTTCAGAAGAATCTTGTACCATTAACAAATGTCGGATGACTGTCTCTGGCTGCATAAATGGAATTTTGCTTCTCTGGAACAATCACTACTCCTAAGCAGAGTTGTCAGTGTTAGTTAGTTTTTTTTTTTTTTTTTAATAAATTTATTTATTTTTGGCTGTGTTGGGTCTTCGTTTCTGCGCGAGGGCTTTCTCTAGTTGTGGCAAGCGGGGCCCACTCTTCATCGCGGTGCGCGGGCCTCTCACTGTCATGGCCTTTCTTGTTGCGGAGCACAGGCTCCAGACGCACAGGCTCAGTAGTTGTGGCTCATGGGCCTAGCTGCTCCGCGGCATGTGGGATCTTCCCAGACCAGGGCTCGAACCCATGTCCCCCGCATTAGCAGGCAGATTCTCAACCACTGCGCCACCAGGGAAGCCCAGCGTTAGTTAGTTTTTAAATGATGGAAGAGGATGAGATTTTTACTGGGTGGGTCAGCTCTCACCGGCACAATGACTCATAGCTGGGTAGGGAGATGCAGGAACAGTTAGGATTTTTCCCTGGCTGGAGTGGAGACTTCCTTTCTGTGTACATAAATATCTGTACAAACATATTGATCTCTAAAACCGATGCAATGATATTTACTTGTTGATAAGTGAAATCACTTTTGCAGACATCTGCGGGCTTTTACGGCCAGACTGACTGATAACTTATCAGGGACATTGTACAGCATGCATTATACAAGTTCTGTATGTCTGGTGATATAATCAGAACACATATGACAGCTTGCCTTCTTGTCACGCTCATATATTCTAGGACATCATAGGTGCCATGATAGGCAGAATGGGCAGTAGTTATGTTTCATGAGGAAGATTCTAGTTTTGAAAGTGACTAATAAAAATTTAAATCTCAGCATAATTACCTGTCCTGTGTCTTATAGAACAAAGGGGAGGAAACGACTCTGTAGCGCCTACCCCTTCAGAGCCAGAACGGATACAGAACAACAAAGGAGACATCCTATCTAATTGGCTTCTTTGTATGTACCCTTTTGGTATTTCACGAATCCCATTTTGTTTTTACTGGCATCTTATCTGCTCTGTTTATGTGCCCCATAGCTAGTGATTTTTTTTTTTTTTAGCATTCTCACTAACTCTGTTTCTTTTCCTCAAAGCCCTTAAGTAACTGCCATGTCCTCTTTCCACTGTTATCCCCTACAGATGATTTGTTAGTTTATTTCCTCTTCTGATCAAAACGCCTTTGCCTGGGTGACTCCGAATTAGTCACATCTAATCTTGATGATTCCCTGAATGACAGTTCCATGTGGTTATCAGCAGGCAGTGCTCTGTTTGGTTTAAAACATTAAAATGTGAAGCTTGTTTTGACAGCAAGATTCTTCCCTGGGCAGTGCTAAGAAGTGTCTAAGTCTGACTGATGAATCGTGATGAGAATCACAGGACTTAACAATAGTAATAAAACCTTGTGATAAAGCACTTGTTTTTCCACCATTTGAATATCATTGTGAGTCAAATCATCTCCCTCAAGAGCAGAGTGTAATATCGTGACCGTATCTCTTGAATGTGGTTCACACACTTGTGGGTCCTTATTTTCCATCAGATACTTGAGTGCTTTCTTTCTTTTTTTTTTTTTTTTTTGCGGTACACGGTCCTCTCACTGTTGTGGCCTCTCCCGTTGTGGAGCACAGGCTCCGGACGCGCAGGCTCAGCGGCCATGGCTCACGGGCCCAGCCGCTCCACGGCATGTGGGATCTTCCCGGACCGGGGCGCGAACCCGCGTCCCCTGCATCGGCAGGCGGACTCTCAACCACTGCGCCACCAGGGAAGCCCTGAATGCTTTCTTGATGTGTAGCATTCCAATGTCATGAGTGGGTCCTTCTTTTTTTAATTGTTTTTTTTTATTGAAGTATAGTTGATTTCCGGTGTTGTGTTAGTTTCAGGTATACAGCAAAATGATTCAGCTATACATATATACACGTATATATATATATACACACAAAAAGAATATATATATGTATTCTTTTGCAGATTCTTTTCCCTTACAGGTTATTACAAGATATTAACCTATAAGGTAATAGTTATAGTTCCCTGTGCTATGCAGTAGTTCCTTATTGGTTATCTATTCTGTACATAGTAGTGTGTATATGTTAACATGAGTGGGTTCTTCTGTTTTTTTCATTTATGAAACATTTTCTTTTCATGACTCAGAGAACACGTTTGGCTCATCCTCATAGCAATTTTAAAAGGTAAGATTTTCGAGCTTCCCTGGTGGCGCAGTGGTTGAGAGTCCGCCTGCCGATGCAGGGGACGCGGGTTCGTGCCCTGGTCCGGGAAGATCTCACTATGCCGCGGAGCGGCTGGGCCCGTGAGCCATGGCCGCTGAGCTTGCGCGTCCTGCTCCGCAGCGGGAGAGGCTGCAGCAGTGAGGCCCGTGTATTGCAAAAAAAAAAAAAAAAAAAAAAGGTAAGATCGTCAATAACGAAGGAAAACGTGGGAACCCACTGCTCATTCCAGAAACACATATGCAGCCCCGGTGTCTAATCCAGCGGCAAGCACTGTAGGGATGTGGATGAATCAGTTCCCGACTTCGCAGTCTGCGTCTTAGAGAAGGGGCGGGGAGAGAGAGAAGAGATGAACTAACGTTTACTGAGCGACGTGCAAGACCCCGCACAGATGTCCTCTTTTAATCGTGACAACAGTACTGCAATATACCTGGTGTTACCTCTATTTTATATGGAGGAGACTGGGTCTCAGAGTGGTTGAGTAACATCCCCAGGGTCTCGGGGCCAGAGTGAGTAGAAGCAGTGATTTCAACTCAGGTCCGTCTTTCCAGCCCATGCTCTGTTTGTCCCCTGCATGGGCCACTCACAGGCAGAAGGAAAAAAAGCACGAGGGCAGTGAATGATTATGGGAGTTCGTGGTCATGTGTCTTTGTGGGCGAGGAAGTCATTACAAAAAGAGTACTCGGAAAACTAAAGGTGAAAATGATAATGTATCAAAATGGAGATCAAACATTCTCCTCGAGATGGTGAAATAGACTGAAAAAAGTGGGAAAACATTCGTGCTTGATTAGAACATCTCAGACTCTGCTGGATTTCTATTTCTCCACAGCTCGCCTCTTCCAATGTGCTCCATCTAATATCAATAGCTCTTCAGATGCGAGGATACAGAATTACATGGAAATTCCCCGTGCAGTACAGCTACGTTTTAGATTTTTACGGCGAAGATTCTTTCCCGCGGTCCTTTTTACAGGCATGACTTTTAGGAGAATACCAATCATGAAATAGAAGCTACATTTTAAAATGAAAATGCATCTGATACCTCCTGTGGAATCTCATCCTAGGGTGACGTGGCACTCTAAAACAGGCGTCAAAACACACAAAATACATAAAAATTCATCTACCCCCAGTTTGCTTGTCTTTCGCCTTCTGCTTCCATTATTAATCTGAGAAAACCGTGTGTGTGTGTCTGCCTGAGTTTGTGTGTTGAATTCTTCGCTATCTGAGAAAAAGTTATTATCCTTGAGAGTATTTTAAGTTTGATATTGTAGAACAGTGGTCCCCAGCCTTTTTGGCACCAGGGACTGGTTTTGTGGAAGACAGTTTCTCCGCGGACCGGGGGGAGGTTTGTGTGGGGTGGGTAGTTCAGGCGGTAACGCGAGCGATAGGGAGCAATGGGGAGCGGCAGATGAAGCTTCGCTCACTCGCTGGCCGCTCGCCTCTTGCTGTGCAGCCCGGTTCCTAACAGGCTGTGGACCGGTACCGGTCTGTGGCCCAGGGGTTGGGGACCCCTATTGTAGAAGATGTACCAGTTATATGGAAAAAAAAAAGGCACTAGTTCCCGGAGGTTGGAGCTGGTGTCAGCTGGGCTTAGGCTCCTACGTGAAGTTTTGACCCCTTGGACACTTGAGCAGCTGATGATTCCGGGCTCCGCCATCTGAGAGTCGTTTCCATCGGGCAAACCCAAGATCCTGTTCTGACACAGGGGCTGGCCTGTTTTTATAAGTAGAGTTTTCCTGGGACACGGCCTCACTCATTTGTTGACATACTGTCCCTGGCCGCTCTTATGCTACAGTGGAGATCGTGACTCTGTGGTCCGGAAAGTAAAAAAATGTTTACTGCCTGACCTTCAAGAAAAAGTTTCCTGGCCCCGGTTGGGAGCATCCAGCCTTCATCTATATTTACCTGGACGCAATCCTAAAATACGTTGTATTGCACTAGAGCTTTGCAAAACCAATATTGCATTAATGACACTTTAGTCATATTTTGAAATAAGTCAAAGTCCTTTGAATATAGAAGACTAAGAATGGAGTAGTCATACTCTCTGGACTTTCTATTGCCCCGAATTTGCATCCATTGGCTTCCAAATTGCATTTTCTTTCACAGAAACTCAATTGGTCTCAGTTTTTAAATCTGAAATCTTCAAAGAGGATGAGGTACGCACAAAAAGGTGATACCTGGCAACGTGGAATGGGATCAAAATTTAGTCTGTGGTTTTTAAATTAATACTCTGTGGACTGTTCATGTTTCTTTCCTTCTTGTTTCATTGTGTAGCCTTCAGGTGTGCGTCATTCACTGTAACTCATCATATTACGTTTCAGTTTGCCAATTTCCTGACGTTAACACTGCCATCACCATTATTTGCAAGCTGTGACAAATAACAACCCTGTTGTGAAAATGGTTGAGAATTTCGATGAGCTCAAGTGTTGACTTCTTGGCACTAGAATAACAGCTGTTTCCTAGGGTAATGTAAAAGAAAAGGAACACCACCAATTCCTTTAGATTTCTAGGTAATAGAAGCCCACAGAAAATCAACAGATTTGTTGTATATGAACAGAGGAAACTTTGGCAAAATCATTTTTAAATTCCCCATGTCTTTAAGTTTTCTTAAAGCCATTTCATGATACAGTTGCTCAAAAGACATTTTACAAAGCTGGATAAGTTTTTTTGTCTAGCGATATCAGTATTAATATGATAGGAACAGCATAGAGAGGTCTGGAGTCTGTTTTAAGATGAAAATTCATATGCCAGCAGGAAAGAAGCCACCAACAATCTGGAGAATTTAATGAGAACAACCTCCCAGTTTTAATTACAGCATTACAAATGTGCAGATACAATAATTGCATTACCTTGATGTATATTTCCACAAGGACTCCATAAAATAAATTCAAAGGCCAGCAGAAGGCTCTCACTAATAGTATCATTTCTCCCTGGGAACAATACAGTTGCTGCATATATTTTTGTAAAAAACAGGTGAATGACACCATCCCAAGCCACAATATAACATTAAAATATTTTCTTCATGTCTTGTTTAAAAGACTTTTCCTTATGGTTTTTCGTCAAAGGGTTAGAGAAAAGTAAATCTACCAAGATACTAGATTAGCTTGTTTAATTTCAGTATCTCCAGCCTTCTCTAGATGGCAGTCAAGGCACGGGGTTTTTTAGGCCGCTCTTGTGGAAAGCGAGAGGAAGAACACAGCAGGGTTTTTTGTTTCTCACAGTCCTCAAATAACGGTGATGAGCGTGTTAAAGTCAGGAAATTGACATGACTGACGTATGAGAGTAGGAAGACAGCAAAAGATGCTCGTCTTACGGCTGCGCACTGAAACAAGAAAGAAAGATGCTCAAGGGGAATAAGACCCCTGGACTCATTTGATCCAGTTATCACACATTTTTGTGTGTGCATAGCATCCTCTTTGAAGATCTCAGATTTAAAAACTGAGGCCAGCTGAGCTTCTGTGGGAGAGAATGAACATCTGGAAGCCCGTGAATGCAAATTTAGAGCAAGAGAAAAATCCAGAAAGCATGAGTATTCCATACCTCGTCTCCAACATCCAAAGAACTTGAACTTATTATAAAATTTGATTAAAGCCAAGTGTCATTAATGCAACATTGGTTTTGGAAAGCTCTAGTGAAAGACGACATAGTTTTTGCATTGAGTCCGGGTGAACTTAGATGAAGTCTGTACTTGGTGCTCGTTAACAGCGAAAGTAATCAGTGTTTTAGGACGAGAATCTTTAACTTGCGCATTTTAAATGACTGTTTGATTGTGTTCCCGAGGAAAATTGATCGTGTGACATGCATTCAACATGCAACAAATATTTTTTGACTGTTTATTCTGCATCAAACACTCTGCTTAGTGCCAGGTATTCAGATGCGCGTGAGCCCCTATCCCAATGGCCCCGTGAATCTGTCCACCCTACTAGGACAGATAAAGCCGGAGTGAAATGGGGACCCTTGTTTTTTGTCTCATGCTTCCAGTATAGGATGGAGAAGAGTTAAGAAGACACAGATTTTCCATCAAGGTCTTTCTCCAGGACTGGGATTTAATAAAATAATAATGAAAATATCAACAAAACCACATTCATTTATTGTATATCTAAATAGCCTACTTGTTTTAAATACTTTATCTATGTGCATTACCTGAACCCAGCAAGGTGGGTATTAGTACCTTTATTTATAGATAATGAAACTTAGAGAAGGAAGATGTCTTTCCCAGGGGCCACAGCAGAGCCCGATTCCAGCTGGAGTTCCTGTGTCTCCAAGGCTTAGGCTCTTCCCACCGCACCCAGCTGCCCACATTCTGAGCTGCCCTGTGTGTGCATTTCTTCCATCTGAGTTGGACTCTTCCACACAGAGGTTCAGGGGACAGTGTACATGGCCTTTCCCGGGTCCATCTGTATTGGGAAGAGTCTGGGGAACTCGGTGCTGATCCTTCAGGGCTTACTGTCTGATGATATGCTGTCGGGAACGGTAAGGGAGATGTTTCAGCATCAAGAATATTTTTCTTATCCCTTAACAGGCGCTATGGTGACTCCTCTTCCTCTGGTCCTGATGCAGCATGAAACGTGGCACAAAGGAACGAGGAAACGTGGCCTTTTGTGCTCGGTGTCTGAAAGTGAGTGTACAGCTATGGGGACGGTGGCTGAGGAGGTAGGGTAGGATTCCTGCCATCTCTGTGACCATCAAACAGGATTAGCTGCTCAGCAGCAGCCCCTTAGTAAGGCTCCCCATCACAGCCAGGGCGCCGTGTGAGCGAGGTGCTGGGAACAGACATTTTCCTGAGGGCGTGTGTGTTAGTTTCCCAGGGCTACTGTAACAAAGCACCACAAACTGGGGGGCTTCAAACCCCAGAAACTTATTGTCTCCGGGTTCTGGAGGCTGGAAGTCCGAAATCAAAGTGCTGGCAGGACCACACTCCCCCGAAAGCTGCATGAGAGCCCTTCCTTGCCTCTTTTCGGCTCTGGAGGACCTTGCCAGAGTCCTGTCAGCAGTCCCCGGCACTGGCTTGCACCTGCCTAACTGCAGTCCCTGCCCCCGTCTTCACGTGGTTCTCTCCCCGTGTCTTCGTCTTTTCCTGAGGACCATTTACATTGAGTTAGCGGCCACCCTAGTCCAGGAGGACCTCAACGAAGTACACTTGTGATCACCCAGTTTCCAAACAAGGTCATATGCTGAGGTACTGGGGGCTTGGAACTTCAGCATGACCCTTTTTAGGGAAAGACAGTTTCACCCCATAACAGCACAACGTAAGGCAAAGAGCAGATTCTAGTACTAACTCTGCCACTAATTAGCTATGTAACTAGCATCTACATCTCCCTGGACCCTGGTTTCCTCATCTATAAAGGGTAGGAGTTGGAAAAGTTGACCTCTAAGGTCTTATTCTATTAGCCTGAGAGTGGGAGGTTCTTGGCCTCTGGTCACGTACCTCTGGTCCCTGGACATTTCTGTCAGGACAGGGTATGTGGCTTAACCAGGCTGGACACCATGCAGCTCCCTTCCTGCCCCCGACCCTGGTTTCCTTCCTTAGTCTGTTGTTAAGCTTTGAGAATCCTCAGAATCTGAGATTTTATTTATTTTACTTCTGTGCTGAGCTGTCTGCTGTGATGCAACAAAGAAAAAGGTATAAGGGAGGAACCAGAGATAGATAAACCAGATACCATAGAACTAAAGGGAAAAACAGAGAAAATGACCAGAGCTCCAGTAGGTTAACCATGATAGGCTGCAAATCTACTGCTGGCTGAAGGGGCCAAGCAAAATTATTGTCTTGGTACTAATCGCAGAATTGTCATGCGACCACACTTTTCCAGTAGATTATTTCATTATATTGAAACAGGTGTGTTTATGATCTATCATCCAAAAGGAGGTTCAGAGCTAACGAAGTCATAGATAAAGTTGCTGGTGGCCTTAATTGCATGTAGACCATTTCCTTTAGAAATGCCATCATTCTGTGCATCCCAGCTGCCCATCGTGACCATCCCGCCACTCCGCCCACCTGTGACGGTTACTGTGATGAGATGCTGGACCTCTCTCCTCTCTCTAAATAACTGCAGTGTTATGCCTGTGAGCTCAAGAGTGATAGCATGTGAGGTCTCACAAAACCATCAACACTGTCACTCAACATACAGATGGCCAATAGGCACATGATAAGATGCTCAACATTGCTAATTATTAGAGAAAATCAAATCAAAACTACAATGAGGTACCACCTCAAATGAGTCAGAATGGCCATCATCAAAAAGTCTAGAAATAATAAGTGCTGGAGATGGTGTGGAGAAAAGGGAACCCTCCTACACTGTTGGTGGGAATGTAAATTGGTACAGCCACTATGGAGAACAGTATGGAGGCCCCTTAAAAAACTAAAAATAGAATAACCATATGATCCCGCAATCCCACTCCTGGGCATATATCTGGAGAAAACTCTAATTCAAAAAATACATGCACCCCAGTGTTCGTAGCAGCACTATTTACAATAGCCAAGACATGGAAGCAACCTAAATGTCCATCAACAGATGAATGGATGAAGCAGATGTGGTCCATATATACGACGGAATACTACTCAGCCATAAAAAAGAATAAAATAAGGCCATTTGCAGCAACATGGATGGACCTAGAGGTGATCATACTAAGTGAAGCAAGTCAGAGAAAGATAAATATCGTAGGCTATTACTCATATGTAGAATCTGAAAAAAAATAATACAGAGGAACTTGTTTATAAAACAGAAACAGACTCACAGAAATAGAAAACAAACTTATAGTTACCAAAGGGGAAAAGGGGAGAGGAATAAATTAGGAGCATGGGATTAACAGATACAAACTATGCATAAAATAGGCGAGCAGCAAAGATAGCACAGGGAACTATATTCAATATCTTGTAATAACCTATAATGGAAAATAATCTGAAAAAAGTATATAACTGGATCACTTTGCTCTACACCTGAAACTAACACAATATTGTAAATCAACTCTACCTCAATAAAAAAATACGATTTTACAAACAAATTTTAAAGAACATTTTATAAAAGCAGCTATCCATCATCTTTGTAAAAAACAGCTTTACTGAGATCTATTTCATGTACCATAAACGTCACCCATTTAAAGTGTGTAATCCAGTGGTTTTTAGTGCACTCACAGTAGGGCATATTAGTATTCACAGTATATATCACAGTATATTCACACTGGGCAACTATCACACAGTCTGATTTCAGAGCATTTTATTAACTCTCAAACTAGCAGTCACTCCTGATTTCTCCCCCTGTCCCCGCCTCCCACCCTTGACAACCACGGATCTATTTTCTGTCTCTACAGATTTTCATATTCTGGACATTACATGAAAATGAAAGCATACAATATGTGGTCTGTCACTGGCTTCCTTCATTTATCAGAATGATTTAAAGGCTTATCATGTTGTAGCGTGTACCAGTTATTTAATATTATCTTGTTGCTGAATAATATTGCATGGAGTGGATGCATCCTATTTTATTTATCCATTCACCCGTTGATGAACACGTGGGTAGTTTTCACTTTTTAGCCATGACGAACGGTGCTGTTGTGAACATTAGGAGTAATTTTTTTTGTGTGGACGAATGTTTTAATTTCTCCTGGGTTTCTATGCAGGAGTGGAATTATGCGTCTACGGAAGCTCTATGTTTAACAGGCGGAGAAACTGTCCAACTGTTTTCCAAAGTGGCCGTGCCATTTTACAAATCTGCCCGCAATGTATGAAGGCTCCAATATCTCCCAATCCTTGTGTATGCTTGTTATTTTTTGTCCTTTTGGTGTAGCCATTCTAGTGGATGTGAGGTAGCATCTCACTGTGGTTTTCGTTGGCGTTTCCCTTATGATTAGTGAGGTTGAGCACTTTTTTTCACCTGCTTATTGACCGTTTGGAAGAGGATCTATTCAGATCCTTTACCCGTTTTTAAATCGGGTTGTTTGTCTTTTTGTTATTGACTTGTAAGTATTCTTTATATTTTCTGAACATAAATCCCTGATCAGATACCTGTTTTGCAAATATTTTCTGCCATTCTGTGGACTGTCTTTTCACTTTCTTGATGGTACTGTTTGCAGCACAAAAGTTTTTGATTTTGATGAAGTCTGATTTATCTATTTTTCTCTTGTCACTTGTGCTTTGCCCGAGAAACCAAGAAACCATTGTCTAAGTCCAGGTCACAAAGATTTGCGCCTATGTTTTCTTCCAAGAGTTTTATAGATCTGGCTCTTACATTGTTACCTAGGGTCCATTTTGAGTTAATTTTTGTGTCTGATGAGAGGTAGGAATCCATTTTCAATCCTTTACATGCGCATGTCCAGTTGTCTCACTACAATTTGTTACAAAGGGTGCTCTTTCCCCATTGAGCTGTTTCAGCACCCTTGTCAAAATTCAACTGACACGGTTGTTTTTAAATTTTTGTATATTACCTTGAAATTCTTTTTTTATATTTAAACTGTTTCAGTAATTATGCATATATATTTTGCATTATGGTTTTTAATTTAACACAACATAAACATTTTCCAGAATTCTCTAGAGGATTTCAATGTTTACACTCCTTCATGTTGAAGTATGGTATTTTACCAAACCATTTCAATATATTTGGACACTTCCATTGCCACAATAACTTGGAAAGAAAATAAATGGAATTTTTCCTGAGTTTGGAATAAAGATTTTGAATATCAGCACCTTTTGACTTAAACATACAGGGAATAATATTTTCTTTCACCAAGGGAATTGCAGAAAGGGAGGAATTTCTGAAGAACCTGGCAAAAGAAAGAATGACATGTAAAAACCTGCCAGATCCAGAGAGCATGAAGCAAACATTCAACAATACCAGTCAGGTAAGGACTCTTCCTCTTCCTCTTCTCAAAATAACTGGAAGGTGCTGATGCCAAAGTCAGTAGGCTAAGGTAAAAATTGGTGGGAAACCCATTTTGATTGCTACATAGAATTAGAAAATCCGGTTTAAAATAGAAGCATGATTGGAGTTTTAATTGGTAGGATGGTACTTAAGGTTGATCCCAAAGTCAGGAGAATTCCTAAGTTTTCATTCCAGGTAAATGAGAGGAGAGGAAATTATATGAATTCACTTTAACCAGGTTGAGACTTACACAGTTAACATTTCCTTTTGTCTCAAGGGATGGGAAGGGAAAGCATCATATGAAATTATAGAGAAGTAATAGGATCTAAACTTAAACAGGTAAAATTATCAGGATTTTCTGTCGTTTTATGTCGAGCAAGTTACCTGGACCAATCTTTAGCAAAAATAAAATGAGAACTCATCGATTAGGCAGTGAAGCATCTACAGGTTATTCAGGAAACAACTTCATCTGTAAGTCCTTTGGGAACAAAACCATTTTACCGTGGCTATGAACTAATAAGGTAATGAGGTACCAAAGGGAAAGATGGGCAGAGAACAAGGCTGAGCAGAACATACAAGGAATTTGCATGGAGAGCTGGAAAGAAAGCAGGCAGGATGGAAAGTCAAGAAAATGAAGTAAGACCAAAGGTCATTTGCATTGAAAATGCTGAGTTCTGATTTTTTTTTTTTTTTGCGGTACGCGGGCCTCTCATTGTTGTGGCCTCTCCCGTCGCGGAGCACAGGCTCCGGACGCGCAGGCTCAGCGGCCATGGCTCACGGGCCCAGCCGCTCCGCGGCATATGGGATCTTCCTGGACCAGGGCACGAACCCGTGTCCCCTGCATTGGCAGGCGGACTCTCAACCACTGCTCCACCAGGGAAGCCCCCTGAGTTCTGATTTTTTAAAATGTTTTTCTTTTGGCAAGTTTTGTTTTTTTTAAATGATAAGGAGTTGTTAAGAGCTTCATTGGCAAGCAACACAAAGGGCAGAAACTGTATAGGAGCACAAAAGTTTTATCTTAGAATTACGTTTCAGTGTATAATTTTATAGACTGTCCAGAAGTTCTGAGTGATGTGTGACCTTCTTAAGTCTCTTTAAACGTGTGTTATGTTTATCTCTTGCTCTAAAACAAGTTATCCCTGAATTCCATGATTTAGAACCACTATTTCATTTTTTAAAAATTTATTTATGGCTGTGTTGGGTCTCCCTTGCTGCGTGCAGGCTTTCTCTAGTTGTGGAGAGCAGGGGCTACTCTTCGTTGCCATGGCATGTGGGATCTTCCCAGACCAGGGCTCGAACCCACGTCCCCTGCATTGGCAGGCGGATTCTTAACCATCGTGCCCCCAGGGAAGTCCCAAGAACCACTATTTCATTTTATCCTTGATTTTGCAGGTCAGGAATTCTGGAAGGGCCAGGCTGGGTGATTCATCTCTGATCAGTATGACAGCAGCTGGAGCTGTAGGGTACACTCAGAGATGGTTTCTCCATGCATGTCTGGGGTCTTGGGGCTTCCTGGCCTCTCTCTCTATACAGCTTCTCATCCTCTCAGGCCTTCTGCATGTGGCCTGAGCATCTCATGGACAGTGGTCTCAGGGCTCCAGAACCCCCGTGCAGAAGCTGCTTGTCTAGGCTGAGCTGGGAGCTAGAGGCCCATCGTCCTTAGTGTCCCGGTGGTGAAAGCAGCCCTCGTTCAGTTTAGATTCAAGGGGAGGGGAGCTAGGACCCACTTCCCCATGGATAGAGGATCAAAGGCTTTGCAGCTTTCTTTAATCCTCCACACCGTGGTTCTTAGCTGTTTTAGTTTCTGGGGTCTTCTGAGAATCCGATGAAGGTTATAGAAAATGTACTCTCACCTCATTTTATATGCAGTTTTGGTGGAATCACTTACCCTGAAGACTTGTCTACAGTAAAGCTGCTTGATGAATGGAGCTGGAGAAATAGCGTGACAGTCATTCCCTTGATGTCAGAGCCACTGGTCTGCTCACTGAATCCGCATCTCCTTAGCCTCCCCTACCCTTAACCTTCTCCTCTGTCCCCTAGAGGTCTGCCTTTGGAAGGATCTTAGTTGTAGTTCAGAGGTTATAATTTCACAAGGTTCATTTCTCTCAAGGTAGCAATAAACCTGTGAAGTATGACTGGGTCAATATTTCTCCAAATGAGTTCTTCTGTCCATAATTTATACCCAGCAGCAGATTCTGTGTGACTGGAAAGACAGGAAGGAAATAATCTCCTGGGACAGTATTTTAATAGCCAGATGTCATTGCCACTAACGAACTTTTAGGCTGGACACAAGGATAACCTTGACAACTGACTTCCTACTCCTGCCTGAACTGTCCACCTGGATTTTGTTTTTTATCAGCCATCGTCAGTACAAAGGTTGTTTCTCAATTTCGTTCTGTAAACATACAGCCGCTGTGTCCCACAGGAACTGAAAGTAGGTGTCCCCAGCTTGGAACTTTTTTCGGAAACAATAAAAAGCTCCTTCAGCTTTGTCTTTTTTTTTTTTTTTTACGTCTTTATTGGAGTATAATTGCTTTACAGTGGTGTGTTAGTTTCTGCTTTATAACAAAGTGAATCAATTATACATAAACATATGTTCCCATATCTCTTCCCTCTTGCGTCTCCCTCCCTCCCACCCTCCCTATCCCACCCCTCTAGGTGGTCACAAAGCACCGAGCTGATCTCCCTGTGGTATGCGGCTGCTTCCCACTAGCTATCTATTTTACATTTGGTAGTGTATATATGTCCATGCCACGCTCTCACTTTGTCCCAGCTTACCCTTCCCCCTCCCCGTGTCCTCAAGTCCATTCTCTAGTAGGTCTGTGTCTTTATTCCTGTCTTATTCCTGGCTGCCATCTTCTCTGTATCACACAACATCTTTCTTATTCTGCTTTTGTGAAAGTCAATACCCACAGAATCCTAGGTGGTAGAGTTGGACTTGATCTCAAGTCACTAGTGAAATCAATCTTCCTTTCTATAAAAGGAGGAAGCAGCAGACACAGAGATTAAGTGATTGCCCAGGGCACACTCTGCTTAGTGACAAAGCTGAGATCTGAACCCAGGTCTTTGCACTAAGTCGATCTTGAATATTAAGTCAGAATATTTGACATGAGTGTTCCAGGTGCTATAGACTGAATGCTTGTGTTTCCCTAATTTTCCTATGTTGAAACCTAACCCACAGTGTGCTGCTAATTAGGAGGTGGGGCCTTGGGAAGGTGATGTCACCCTTGTAATAGAGACCCCAGCCAGCCCTCGCCCCTCTGCCCAGAGAGAAGATGGCCATCTACAAACCAGGAAGCGGGTTCTCGCCAGACACTGAATCTGCCTGTGCCTTGATCCTGGACTTTCAGCCTCCAGAACAGTGAGGAGTAAATGTCTGTTGTTTAAGCGCCCCCATCTGTGGTAGATTGTTATAGCAGCCCAAGCAGACTAAGATGCTAGGTATTTTTTTTTTATGGTTTTATTGAGATATATTTTATATACCATAAAATACACCCATTTAAAGGGTACGGTTATGTGCTTTTTAACATATTCAGAGTGCGATCATCACCACACTTTAGAAGATTTTAGCACTACAGGACGAAAATCTGTCCCCATTAGCAGTTGCTACCCAATCACCCTCAGCTGGCCCCAGCCGTCCCCCTAAGCAACAGCCAATCCACTTTCTGTCTTCATGAATGTGCCTGTCCTGGGTAAGTGGGATCACTATAATATGTGGTCCTTTGTGACTGACTTCTTTCACGTGGGATAATGGTTCAAGGTTGGTCCATGTTGTAACAGGTGCCTGTACTTCATAATTTTTTATTGCAGAATAATATTCTATTGTCTGGCCATCCCACATTTGTTTATCTGTTCATTAGCTGATGGCATTTAGGGGTTCCCAGTTTTGGGGTATTTTGAATGATGTGACTGTGAACATTGTGGGCAAGTTTTGCATGCATGTGTATTATTATTTCTTATGGGTATATACCTACCAGTGGAATTGTTGGGTCGTTTGGTAACTCTATGTTTAATTTTTTGAGGAACTGCCAAACTGTTTGCCACTAGCTTGTTTTTATGTTTTTAATTTATTTTCTTCTGAGTTTTTAAAAATTGAAGTTTAGCTGACTTACAACGTTGTGTTAGTTTCAGGTGTACAGCAAGGTGATTCAGTTATACATACATATATATCTATTCTTTCAGATTTTTTCCCTTATAGGTTATTAGAAAATATTGAGTAGAGTTCCCAGTGCCATACAGCAGGTCCTTGTTGGTTATCTATTTTATATATAGTACTGTGTATATGTTGATCCTAAACTCCTAATATATCCCTCCCCCCAACTAGTTTTTTATAACAACATCAAAATGTTATGTTAACAACTACCATGATCCAGGGCAACTTTTAGTCAATTAAAAATACATGTATAACTACGTATGCCCAAGTCTGTATATATTAATACACGGTTAAATTGTGGAAAGGAACAAGACATTTCTCATAGCTAAAAATTAGACTGTGTAAGACAAAAACCTTTCTTTTCACATCACGAATAATTTGCATGGGCTACATTTAAACCAGCTAACAGAGAAGAGGCTTCCGATCCACAGTTAGACAGAGGTGGCCAAGTTAATGTTGTCAGAGGGGTCCTGCATTGGGCATTTCTAGACATGGACAATGGCAATACGGTTTTGATAAAGGTGTTAGGATATTAAAGAAAAGAAAATAAGAGAATCAGCAAGAGAGAAGAAGGGCGCCAACGAAGGGCAGTGTTGGTTTTCATACTGAGGGTCTCTGAGCAGCAGCTTGGTAGGACTTGGCATCAGGAAGGCACCACTGTGTTCCTTTTTATGGCTGAGTCAGTAGGCAGCATGGGTCCGGAGCAGCCCTTGTAGACCTAGGTGTGAGCAAAGCAGATGAAGCTGTTCGATTTCCCATTTGCATTTCTAGTAAGGCATTTTGCCAGCCTTTTCCCCTAACCTTTCACCATGTGTAATGGCAGGAATACCAAGACCCCTGTCCTGTTCCAGGGTCCACACGATCCCTGGGACCTCGCTCTCTATCTTGGGCCCCGCCTTCACCTGTAGAATAGGAGTAATTACCCCCCTACCCACTTCCAGGATCAGGTTTCCGGAAGGACGATGAGAGAGTAGGTGGCCCAGTACTCTGAGCTGTCAAGCTCTAAGGGAAAGGCATTAACACAGGCCAGTAGAACCGTGTTCTCGTGGTAGATGGTCTAAGGGATACTTAACATGCTCAGAGTACTGATAGACAGTTTTGTTTGCACACCTACCTGTGATTGATGGCCAGTGCTATGGAAAGCACTTACAAACACATTTCCAAGCTAATAGGCACAAATAAAAAGATAAAATTGGGAAGAACTGACAAATTTCCTTAGTACATCAAACTCAGGAAAGATTTCCTTGGCATATATTAGAAAAAGCACAGAGCACAGAAATTACAGAAAAACTGCACTCACAGTTTGCATGATTTCAGACTGCAGACTGGTTAGTTCTTTTCTTTCATCTCCCACACACACTTGAAGTTCACCACATGCCTACCTCTGCCTCTGGGGGCTCTCCTTGTAGTTTTGTTCACAAACGCAGACCTGAAGGCATCTGAGGCAGCCCGACTGTGTGATTATTTTACTATATTTTATTTTTTATTGAAGTAGAGTCGATTTACAATGTTGTGTTAGTTTCAGGTGTACAGCCAAGTGATTCCGTCATATACATATATATATATATGCTTTTTTAGACTCTTTTCCCTTATAGGTTATTACAAAATATTGAGTAGAGTTCCCTGTACTATACAGTAGGTCCTTGTTGGTTATCTATTTTACATATAGTAGTGTGTATGTGTTAAACCCAAACTCCCAGTTTATCCCTCTTCCTCACCTTTCCGCTTTGGTAACCATAAGTTTGTTTTCTATGTCTGTGGGTCTATTTCTGTTTTGTACATGAGTTCATTTGTATCATTTTTTTAGATTCTACATATAAGTGATATCATATGATATTTGCCTTTCTCTGTCTGACTTATTTCACTTAGTATGATAATCTCTGTGTCCATCCATGTTGCTGCAAATGGTATTATTTCATTCTTTTTAATGGCTGAGTAGTATTCCATTGTATATATGTACCACATCTTCTTTATCCATTCCTCTCTTGATGGACATTTAGGTTGCTTCCACATCCTGGCTATTGTAAATAGTGCTGCAATGAACATTGGGGTGCATGTATCTTTTCAAAGTACAGTTTTCTCCGGATACCTGCCCAGGAGTGGGATTGCTGGATCATATGGTAGCTCTATTTTTAGTTTTTTGAGGAACCTCCCTGCTGTTCTCCATAGTGGCTGCACCAATTTACATTCCTACCAACAGGGCAGGAGGGTTCCCTTTTCTCCACACCCTCTCCAGCATTTATTATTTGTAGACTTTTGATGATGATTATTTTAAATAAGATATATGTAATTCATTTCCTCTGCTAACCTCTTGTGGCCCAATACCAAAATGAACTGTTTTCTTAAAACAGCTTTTACAAGTTTCATTTATAAAAAGGGAATTGGAGATAGCTACCATGAAACAGTGTCAAGGAGCAAAGTCAAAGCAGTGCTGTGCATACAGCCCCACAGTGCCATTTCTTTTCTGCTTCTACTCACTTATCAATATCATTACAGTTTCATTAGCGTTTGGCATTAAAAGTCTTCTTAAACATTTACCCTAAAAACATCACATTAAAAACTTAGAAAGATGGCTATATACTTTTCCTTGATGGAAGACTGCAGACAGAACATAAGACCAATAATCGGAAATTTTATTAAGAATAGAGTGACAGAAAAAAATAATTAGCAATCTTATTGAGAACACTACACTGTACTCCTGCCTAATTTTATGAATAGCGGTCACTGTGCCAATTAATATCCAAGCATCCATATCTTATGATGACACAGAGCTTGGTTTTTGTTGTTTTTTCCCCACCACCCAAGAAAAAAAGACAAGGAGTTCGGCAAGGGGCTATTTCTGGAGAAAAATGACTTGCATTATGAACGTCTTCAATCATTTGTCTCGATTCATATAACGTCCTCTTTCCTCCCTCCAACTTCTCATTATTCAAAAATCATTTACCACTAAATTACAGAAAAGCAGTGTCTCCTACAGCAGAAGTGAAGTGAAGCTGGGCATGAGTCTATAAACAGTTATGAGGCTCTCAAATCATCAGAAAGATGCCACCTGAGACATACGACCTGTCCTGGTCTCCAGACGCCCGGTGCCCATCGACGGGGAGCCTAGAGGGGTCATATTTTCTCTTCTCTGGAACTGAAGGTCCCTGTCATCTCAACTAAGAGAGAGTTTTTCTTTGGAAGAGCAAAAACACATTAGTGTTTGGAGGACGTCCTGATGATACACACAGGCATCTTTCCCCATGATACACACTGGCATCTTTTCCCAAGAAGCAGTCTGAAGCTCTAATCATATTTTGGCAAGCAGAGCCTCACTTCACTGGTGCTCTGGCCACAGGGAC